ACGTCATTTCAAAATAAATTCAACAAATCCCGTTTAGGCTGTTAAAAAAGAGAAAGTAAAATTGTTGATTTACAACACTGTCTTTGTTTTAGACTATGCCTACATATAACTTCGCCGCACTTCAATCATGTCGGAGTATGTCAATCAGGATTGGATGAAACAATTACCCCCATTATTTATAAGATTTTAATTTTATGATTATTGTGCTTTTTGTTAAACTTTTAAAAATATTTTGTTTAATATTTTATAATACGAACGTTAAGTACTTTCATTCAAATTGTTGTAACTCCGCAGAAACGCAGGTCGACTTCAAACTTTCATATCAAGTGTTTTCCAACAAAGCATTACTCTCCAAGCCTTTCGCCTCACAATAGTCTGAGGGAATTTTCACTGCCGCAAAAAAAGTTTTTAGTGTTAGCACTGTCTCTATTTCCTAAAATTTTCTGTAAATCTACCAACGATAAATTTTGAAACCTGCTCGTCTCGGTCATCTTGTAACTGTAAGCAGTGGCAACAGACGACATAAATCTACGAAATTGTGCACTGTAACTGCTGACGTTATATACCAACATAATGAGCCAAGGGGCACAACTCGTCAGTCTTTAGGTCTAGGCTTTATTTTCATAAAGCAATCCGTCACTATTATAAATTTTATTTACATTAGTGGGTTTTTTTTAATTGAATTTGATAATGCCCTAACAATCTTAAAAAATTAGCGGTCATTAATTAAAATGACCAGGTCATTATATATCCCGCGTACGATGATTCCTGAGTCATTTTTCCTGTAAACAGTACCAATTGGAGTCATTGTTGTGTTTTAAAGTTTTCTTATCAGCCAATCAATAGAGGTATAATAATAATTATATAAGACATTAAACATCATACTTCCCACCCCAAATACAGATAGATCTAAATTACAGTTAGTGTTAACATGTTCTGTAATATACAGATACGTGTATGATTGATTCTATTTGTTAAACGTGAAGAGCTGCAAATTTTGTCCTATAGTCGGCTCTTAGGGTCATTTATCAAGGAGGGATCTTTTTTGTGCCAGCATCTATTTGGGACCTCGGTTTTTTACTGTTTCTGGTCTGATCTCCACGTCCTTCAGTGGGAATCTAACCCGCGACGTAAGGAAAACTTCTTACTTCGCGACTCTAGAGCTGAAGCTCTTACCACTGCGCCATGGGGGTGATGATGGGTGTATCTAGATCACGGTTAGCATTAACATGTTCTGTAATATTCAGATGAATGTATGAAGATTAAGATCACAGTGAAGATTAAGATCACAGTTTATTTGTATGTTCTGAAATATACAGATGAAGGTTTGAAGCATTATGGTCTCCATTTCTGAAGGTATTTTGGAGAATAGTTGAATTGGTTTCCAAATCTCTCCCATAAACCATCAAGAGTATAATGTTTGTCTCAGGAGCCACAGGCTGCATAAATTCTTACAAATGCTGAAGAAAAATCGCATTCGGTTCTAACATGACGATTATAGTCTTCTTATACGAAATAAATTCTTTTGATTTCCTTAAAATTGAATAATTCAATTAAAGGTATGGAAAGAAAATTCAAGTAACATCTGTCCAGGCAATCAAATCTTGTGACTTATTTCTAGATTCTGTGTTTCCAAGGATTTTGGCGATGAATAAAAATATTACTGAAACGAATAAAGAAGTTCTTTTCTTATTTACACAGATTTATCTTTTCTAAATCTCTTCGCTCTTTCCGCAAAGGTTGATGCAAAATGGTCTGAAAGTTTCATATATCTAAAGTAAAAGGTCATTCATAATTTTTCAAAATGATTGCTCCATAATACATAGAACTAATTTAAACGTCATTCTTAGTTTTTCAACGTGATTTCGAAAGCCAATACTGAAACAAAAGTTCCATACTTTGTATTTTTAACAAGGCTTGTACATTTGGAAATTAATATTGATGACTATTTACTTCTGTGTGCTCATCATGAAACCCTGAGTCTATCAATGACTGGCCAAGCTACCGCCTTCTTTCTTACGGAGGAAACGTGATTGCTCACTAGTTAGCAAAACAGTTCTACCGTCATTGCTCACTAGATAGCAAAACAGTTCTACCGTCATGCTTGATATATACAATCTTAGGTGTACATGTATTTATCTGATCAATGGGAACAACAGAGAACACCTTTTTGGATTTTTAGGTTACCTGAGTAAACTCAGGTGACCTATTGCTATCAGTTTTCGTCCGTCGTCGTTCGTCGTCCGTAAATTTTTGAACATTTTTAGCTTCTTCTCTGGAACCACTGAAACAATTTCAACCAAATTTGGTATACAGCATCTATGGGTGAAGAGGAACAAAAATGGGAATTTTATGGTACCTGCCCCCTTGGGGACTGAGGGGTGGGGCCAAAACCACTAAAATTAATGTAATCTTTAAAAATCTTCTTTACTCCTGAACATTAAGCAGTCAAACTGTTTGCATGATTGTAATCAGCATTGAGTCCTCTACCAAAATTGTGAAATTCATGGCCTCTGGGTCAGGGGTTCTGGTGTTAGGGCGGGGCTATATAGATCATATAGTAAAAATGCATTATTTCTTTGAAAATCTTCTTATCTGCTCCTCGGTATTAAATAATTTAATTAAGTACATAGTTATGATCAACAAGAGTGCATCCTCAAAAATTGTGAATTTCATGGTCCCAGGGTCAGGGGTTCTGGTGTTAGGGAGGGGCTCTATTGATTATATAGTGAAAACGCATTAATTCTTCAAAACTCTTCTCTGTTCCTGGGTATTAAACCAATAAACTATATACATAGTTATGATGAGGAAAGATGCCTCTTCCAAATTTGTGAAATTCAATCATTGGAAATTAAAGTTGTTTCATGAAACTCAGGTGACCTTTAAGGCCCGTGGGCCTCTTGTTTTAAACTTGGGTTTCTTTCTGCCTTGTTTTCATAAGCTTTGGGTGTTATGATGTGTCACTAAGATTGGCAGGTACGAGGGACGTTCAATAAATAATGTCATCGGGGCTCGGAAAGAAACAAAAAAGCGCTTTTCTATGATTTAGTCTTAATTATTAAACTAAAATATTATCTTTTAATTAAAACACATGTTCGTAACATTTTTATTCAATTTCTACTTGTTTTTAGAACACAATTTGTAGTATGACCCTTCGTATACTGGAATATGGCAGATCCTATGATTTCCTGTACTTGTTTCTTTTTTCTTTCTGAGGGTGTTTATGTCAAATAAGGGAAATAAAACAAGTCAAAGGTTGAAAGTGCTGGCCAATATTGTTGATGTGACAAAACATTAACTTCCTTTTTATCCCCAGAACTCCTTTACTCTTCATGGCCTGTGGGTTTGGACGCTGTCATGAAGAAATTAATGTAGTGAATTCCTCAATCTGGTTCCTTCCTCTCATTAACCTGACACTTTTTTGCAATTTTTTTCCTAGACCCTTCCAGAAATTGAAATTACTCCCCCAATAAGAATTTGAACAACAAGACCACTAATATTTAAGAAAATAGCATATAAAACTGTTTTTGTGCTCTTTAATTCTTCGCTCTTTTCAGCCCTTTGCTGTTTTGTCAAGTGTATCTTATTGTAAATGTGTTTTGAGGGTTTAAAGCAAAATGGATTCAAATTTTTATTATCTGTTTGAATTTCAGACAGACATGAAAAGGTACTTTTTTAAATATTTTTTTTAGATATTCCTACACGCTGTCGTTTTCACTCATTTTTAAAAATATTGGGTGACCTTTGAGTATTAATCTTTTTACTGTCAAATGTTTCTTTAAAACAGTGTAAACTACCCCCCAAAATGATGTCTATCAAATTTGCTATGTGCCTTAAAGTCAATCAAACATATTAAGTGATGATTTTTGAATTTTTGCAAATAAGCATCGGTTGTTGTATGTCCTTGTCACCAAGGACGGTACCCATTTTTGATTTTTATTATTTTTGTTCATTGAAATCCACCTGCTCATGTGTATATAAAACAGACATTGGTTGCTGTAAATTTCACATAATTTAGTTAATATATCTTTAGGATTCTTAGCAAGTTTTTACAGCAGCTTTAATGCACCGTTTAATTTCACTCTAGTTTACTGATTCTTGACTATTCATTTTGAATGCAGTGTCTTGAATAGCTCTTGTTTTTCGGCTTCTCACAATGGAACTATTTGATGAAAAGTGGTCACATAAACTGTTATTAATTCATTAAAGATTCAATACTGAGAGAAAGGTAAGCTTAATTTCATATGATTTCTATGTTGAATGTCATCGAGCTGATGACATTATTTATTGAACGTTCCTCGTATCTATATAATCAAACGGCGTTTGATGAATAATTGTTTTATCTCACTAAATTAATTAAACGAATCTGAATTTACGTGCATCAATTACATGTCAAAAATACCCAGTAAGTACAACTAATTTTCAACCGATTCTTTCTTGCGATCATATATTAACAAGTGTTCATTATGATAAAATTTTATAGTACTACATGTAGTTCCTATCCTTTTGCTTCTGTGACAATTTGCAGAATGTGAGATGGGTGGAAAATGAACTTAAATTTTTATTTTTGACGATACGTATAATATCACGTGTATATTAAAATACATATAACACTTATAATCAATACATATCTGTATGTATTTCAATACCCAGTTACATGTATGTTAAAAATGAATAGAATTTCTAAATAAAAGATATAACAACCGTTTCTTTGGTTACTTTATCAATAACCACAATAATTAACAGAGTAACATTTTTAAAGCAAATAAACAGATAATTCTTTTTTATAAAAGTTATTTCTCACATTTCAAATAAATGGAAAAATATATCATGACAATCAAAATCAATATATTTATTTCAAATCAGATTACATTTTAATGTATGTTCATACATATTATAAATCAGATTACATTTTAATGTATGTACATACATATAAATAGTGCTCGAAATCTCATAGAATACCTTATCTCGTAAAATCTTTAGGGGAAAAGTATTTTGAGAAGAAATGCACATGTGAGCTTTTCTTTCTTATTTCTAAAATATTGTCAATTAATATACATCGTGTATACATGTACTATCTTTTTTATAGTATTTGAAATTCATCACTTGATATGTAATTTTTTTAATATTGAAGAATTTTAATAGACCGCTGATGAATTTGAGTAAATATCTCTATATCTAAACAGACTGCAGTTTTTGACGCTGGTTTTTACAAGTTTCCTGCTATGTGGAGTGAATGCAGGAGCAGGAACAAAAGATTTCCTAAAAAAATTCAAAACGTATAATGAAGTATGTCGAGGAATGGGCTTCAAAGGAGACACTAGTCACTGTCAAGGAGGAGAAAAAGGTAACATAAATATACTTGTCAATTGAAAATTAATTTTCCTTGGTAAAGGGTTAAAATAAAATCCTAATTTCAATGACAAACTCAAACTTTAATTTAAAGCGCTTTCACCCAATCAGCCATGGGATGAGCCCGCATGGGGCAAAAACGCTTTAGATAAAAGTTCGAGTTTGTCATTTGAATTTGGATTTTATACTTAATTGTCAATACTAGTACACATATTGATGTGCAGGCACACTTATGCTATTAAGAAACTGTGTAGAATATATATATATATATTTAGTGGTAACAATCGGTACATTTGGAATATATTTTAAATGCTGCAAATGCTAAAGTAATGCAAAAGTATTCACTTATGGTAGGCGGTACATGTTCAAACTCAATGAACAACTTTGAAAAATATTTGAACTGATGTAACCAAACAAATTTAGACTGTACCACTGCTACTATCTTGAGCTTGTATTTTAGCAAAATACGGAATAAAGTAATCAATGATGTTTAATAATATGATAGCACAGGCATATTACACTAGTTGGTATTAAAATAAAATTAAATGCCCACGAAACTATTTTTTATGACAAAACAACGAATTTTTTTGCCCACGAAAATTTGTGCTTCTACAGTAAATTGAATTAAACAGAAGCTGCAATGAAATAAAGTACTGATACTGAATAGAATATAGATAAAAAACGCAATTTTCTCCAAATGCCTGGATACCTATAATTTTTTTATCCTTTATACTAATAGCAATTATTAATCAATATTCAAAAAGAAAATGCACAGCTGGTGCGTTTATTCCTGTTTCATAAAAATCTGTTTGAGAACTGATAATTTTCCAAATATAATAAATATGTAATAAACTATAATGATGAATCTTTAAGACAAAATAACATGGGTAAATACATGCTACCTACATGTAGAGAATTCAGAGATATTTTGGGAGCATTTTTAATCAACCAACTCCTCCTGATTTTAATTACCTGAGCATTATGCTCCCTTAAAAATAAAGAATTTTTTTTTTAGCTATTAATCTCGTTTTTAAAATCGAACTTTTTAAAGAGTAAGTTCTGAGATTAACCCATATCGTCTGAAATAGCTAAATTTAGTTTCTTAACTACTAGAAAAATTACGGTACACTTGAAAAATAAACTGACACAATCATACAAAAAACATTTTTTTCCAACAGCAATAATTTCATTTCATGCCCGAATGGAAAGTTATCTTCAAAATCTGGGAAACAATGCCGTAGTTGTATTTGGAAATGTTACTGAAAATTCTGGATCCGCCTATAATGGTAACACAGGGAAATTCACGGCGCCTCAGAATGGAATTTACTCATTTACTTGGACCATTTTAACAGCACCTGGAAGGATGTTTAATACAAATATTGTATTGAATGATATTAGTAATATCATTGGATACAACCAAGTCAACGGAAAAAGTGGGAGTCAAACTTATGCAGCAGGATCCGCTACAACAATTATAAAAATGAAGAAAAATGACAAGGTCTGGATAAAAACACATGAAGGAGAAGGCATATACGCTTATGGTACTTGGTCCTCTTTTTCTGGCTTTAAATTGTCATGATTTTTAACGGAGTGCTAATAAAAAAACATATGCTTAGAATTTGTAGATTTTTTTTCTATCACTGGGTGATGTTTCTGATACTGGTTAATTTAATCGATCAGGATGCAAAAAAGTCAAATCCCTGATAGATGTATTGAACATGTTTAAATTCCCCAGCAACATTTTATCTTCAAAACTGAGCTAGACATGAAGAAAATGAAGTTAAGGTGAAAGACAGGGTCAAGGTTGATAATTGTTGATGAAGTTGAAAAGATTTTATCATTTTTTTATATTTCAGGTAGTAAGGTTTGAGGATCATCCGCTAAATGATTTAATTCTTTCATTAAGTTGCGGTTAAGTTGCGATTTATCATTAGCGATTGAAAAGGTAAACCATTAATGCACTAATTTACGACATTAAGTGTTACAGTTGCAATGTCTACAAAGCATACTCTGTCAGTTAGTCACACCCATTGTGAACTCCTGGTCTTGATCAGGAATACAATACAGAGAAGTGAACCTCTCGAGATCTTGAACGAAAAAATATAGAATACATCTATCTCTTTAGTCGTAATATTAACATTATGAAGGTGACAGGAAAAAGTTGTAAACTCAGCCATTTTCGAAAATCAATGTTATGTATAACATGTTACTTTTAACTAGAACCACAAAGTTCATTAAAGAAAACTTGGCTGTTTCTAAAACAAAGAGGCCCATGAGCCTTATAGGTCACCTGAGCATTATGCAACAACTTTCCAGTGTTTGAATTTGATTCATGTTTTAAGCCAGATGCTATGGCATTCACAATTTTGAAAGAGGCACCATTGATCATCATAACAATACACTAAGCAGTTGCTTAGTTTGTTTACTTAATACCCATACGCAGGGTAGGGGAACAAAAAATGCATTTCAACTAATCAGTAATATTCAGCAATAATCAGTAGTGTCCCTACCATACATGAACCCCTGACCCTTAGGCCTTGATATTTGATTAATACCAAGGAGCAGATTTCAAACCATTCATTCATTTTCAGTATATAAGTACAACCACCCCTCTATGGTACCCCTGACCCTGGGGCCTTGAAATTCACAATTGTGGAAGATATGAGCCTTTGTCAATCATAACTATATTGGTAGTTCATCTGTTTAATACCCTGGAGCAGAGAAGAAAATTTTCAAAGATTTAATGCATTTTCACTTTATAATCAATAGAGCCCCGCCCTAACACCAGAACCCCTTACCCTGGGGCCATAAAATTTACAATTATGGAAGATGCACTCTTGTTGATCATAACTATATACTTAGTTAGTTTATTTATTTCCTAGGAGCAGAGGAGAAGATTTTCAAAAAATTCATGTATTTCACTATATAATCAATACAGTCCCACCCTAACACCAGAACCCCTGACCCCAGGGCCATAAAGTTCATTATTTTGGTAGAAGCACTCTTGCTCATCATAACTATGCACCTAATTAGTTAGTTTATTTATTTCCTGGGATCAGAGGAGAAGATTTTCAAAGAATTCAGGTATTTTCACTATATAATCTATAGAGCCCCGCCCTAATACCAGAACCCTTGTCCCTGGGGCCATAAAATTCATAATTTTGGTAGAGGCACTCTTGATCATCATAACTAGGCACTTAGTTAGTTTATTTAATTCCCAGGAGTAGAAAAGATGATTTTCAAAGAATTCATGTATTTTCACGCTTCATACTTGGATATTTTACTTGAAAAAGACACTAATGGTAATCTAACAACCAAGCTATATGATAAACGTGATGACTCTAACTTTTCTATCGTCAACTTCCCTTACTTATGCAGCAATATACCTTCATCACCTGCATACGGAGTATGTATATCTCAGTTGATTCGATACGTAAGAGCATGCTCTACGTATGAACAATTTCTTAAACGAGGTAAATTATTGACAAGCAAGTTAATGAAACAAGAATATCAACAGTCTCGTTTAAAGTCATCATTTCGTAAATTCTATGGTCGATACAATGACCTTGTCAGCAAATACAATTTATCATTGAATGAAATGCTGACTGACGTTTTTCATACCAATTGTTAGTCCATTATTTATACACTGAATTGACGACGGATTTTTTCCGTTATTTCCTGATTATGACAACGAGCATACGGCGGGTGGGACCGGTCGGCAGGGGATGCTCACTCCTCCATGGCACCTGATCCCACCTCTGATGTTTCGGAGGTCCGTGTTTGCTCTGCTCTTATTTTGTATATTGTTTAATGGACGTTGAGATTGAATACTGTTCGTTATTTCCATATCCTTCCTTATATAATCAATAGAGCCACGCCCTAACAGCAGAACCCTGACCCTGGGGCTATAAAATTCACAATTTTGGTAGAGGCACTCTTGCTCATTATAACTATGCACTTAGTAAGTTTATTTAATACCTAGGAGCAGAGAAGAAGATTTTCAGAGAATTCATGTATTTTCACTATATAATCAATAGAGCCCCGCCCTAACACCAGAACCCCTGACCCTGGGGCCATAAAATTCACAATTTTGGTAGAGGCACTCTTGCTCATCATAACTATGTACTTAGTTAGTTTATTTAATACCCATGAGCAGAGAAGATTTTCAAAGAATTCATGTATTTTCACTATATAATCGATAGAGCCCCAACCTAACAACAGAACCCCTGACCCTGGGGCCATAAAATTACAAGTTTGGTAGAGGCACTCTTGTTCATCATAACTATGTACTTAGTTGGTTTATTTAATACCCAGGAGCAAAGAGAAATATTTTCAAAGAAATAATGCATTTTCACAACCTACTTATTTAGCCCCACCCTAGCACTAGAACCCCTGACCCCAGGGCCATGAATTTCACAATTTTGGTAGGGGACTCATTGCTGATTACAATCATGCAAACAGTCTGACTGCTTGATGTCCAGGAGTAAAGAAGAAGATTTTTAAAGATTGCACTAATTTTAGTGGTTTTGGCCCCACCACACAGGCCCCAGGGGGGCAGGGATCATGAAATTCACAATTTTTGTTCCCCCTTACCCACAAATGCTTTATGCCAAATTTGGTTGAAATTGGTTCAGTGGTTGCAGAGAAGAAGCTGAAAATGTTCAAATGTTAACGCACGACGCACGACGACGGACGAAAACAGATAGCAATAGGTCATCTGAGTTTACTCAGGTGACCTAAAAATTCTATTCTTCTTTTAAATTCCAATCAATTTTTTCCACATACTGTGGACCTATCCTAAGCCAAAAGAGTCATGACATTTGAATCAGTACAATATTAAGATTCTTTGATATTAATATAATATTATTATGCTAATCAAGATTTCAATATCCTGCTTAGGTTCAGTGACAACATTTTTTTCAACTGTTTTTCAGAAGATTTTTTGAAAACCCAACCTAGATATTTAAACTGCAAAAGTGAATACCCTATTAAATTGTATAACCATTCCACCAGCGCGCCATGATTTCAGAAAGCTTAATTCAAACCTTCATTAGGAACATTATATTTTCTTAATTTTCATTTTTTTTTTATTCTAGGGAAAATTTTTTATTGTTCAGTTATCACCCCTTGAAAGAAAAAGACGTTTCGATTAATCGTAACTACTCGGTCATTTCCGAAAAATGGCCGAATACTTACGATTGTGTTTCGTTGAGGTACAAAAAAATTGCATCCACTTTAGTCAAGAATGGTATCGTGCTTTATGGATAGTTTAAATTGAGCAGAATTCTGGGAGAAGACCAAAACTTTAAAGACAACAACAACAAAGACAGTTAAAGAACCTTAAAGTTACTCTCATTTAAACAGGCTTGTAAAAATGTCTGATAGGATTTGGATTTTTTTTACTACTCATAAATGTATTAACTTTAAGAAAATTAAAAATTTCATAAGTAAATAAATAAAGAATATTACATACTAAAATCCATATCATATGTCACATCAGCCCTCGGGCCCCATATCAGCCCGAGGGCCGAAATCCATATCATATGTCATATCAGCCCGAGTGGCCCCATATCAGCCCGAGGGCCGAAGGCCCGAGGGCTGATATGGGGCCCGAGGGCTGATGTGACATATGATATGGATTTTAGTATGTAGTATTCTATTTATCATATATTTAAAATACTTAATATGCGAGTTCACATATGGTCGTTGAAGAAGATTTCGTGCTTGTTTGACATTTCTCTTTAAAATTTAATAGAGCCAATTTTAGGTAACTGGAAAAAAATTAAGACCACAAATGTCGTTAAAGAATTATTTTATATGAATATTTAAATAAAATCAAGTAAAGTAACTTTTAAACTTAATACAAACGTTACTTCGGGTTTGATATGGATTTTCGGCCAGCCGGTCCGATACGTGATATGGCTTTTCGGACCGGTCCGTGATATGGGGTACTGTGACGTCACCCGTATCACACCGTGCAGAATCAGTATATTTACTACTAAGTATATGATAATTCTGATTATTAAAATTGATAATTATTTATGGCCCATTAATATATACATCGCATATGTAGTTTTCCAAAATAAAAGCATGGTAAAGCCTGCTACTTTGACAAAGTCGACAAAAAAAGAAACTTAAAATAAGGCTTGTAAAGCAACTTTCCTAGTAAAAAAAATTAGTTTGGAGATTAATATAATCAATGGATGAAGACACGGGGTCTCAGCGAAGTTCTGCTGTTCAATTTTGTTGATACAAGTTATCATTTCTTGTATCTCCGTGGCTTTTATTAAAAAAATCAATGTAACCTCAGCATAACCATGCACATATGACGTATAAAAATTATTGCCATATGAAAATATTTTGTTTGACATTTTGCCGCGATGACGTATGCTTTGGTGGATTTTTCTTTCATTTTCCTTTTTTTCCTTCTTTCCTTTCATATTCGAATCCACGTGGTACTATTAAACATATATAAGTTGTACAAACTTTGATTCCGGCGATTCTAATTACGCTAATTTGTGTATGAGGTGAGAGTATCTATGTTTCTCAACCTGCTGACTTCAACTTTATACCTTATTCCTTAATGATATATTGGATAAATTTGAATGAAAAAGCACACGATATGCAGCCGTACAGTTGCTTTAAGCTCAGATAAAAAAAACATTGTCCTCAAATTTACAGACATTTATATATATATATTTCTTAATCCAGTAGCTATTAAAATTTTTACAGAAATAAATATGCTTCTATATTTGGCGATTTACGTCCATTTTTAAAAATGGCTCTTAATTCGTTTGTGATTGTCAAATTCTGTGGTCCAAGATCCAAAAATATACCTTATATATCATTTCATCGATGCAAAGAATCTTACACTTTTACCAAAATGCGCAATTATTTGAAAAAATCTGATCTGATCAGGACTTTTCCCGAGAGAAAACGATCAACAAGATACATACAATGTATGTTGCTTCATTCCAACGAAATGTAATAGGGAATAAAATTTATTGAATAATTTATTTTATTGAATAATCGGAAGTCTGAACTTAAAATGCCCAATATATAAAACTAAATTACAACAAATTCCTTCTCACTATCTTATATTCATAAGTGTAAATTATAACTGAATTTTTCGTACTAACACTTGTCATTTGTTTCTTTGAAATTTATATTATACGAGACTAGCTGCATATTGAAATATAATGAATATAATCAATGCATGTACATGTATGTACGTTATCTTATTTCAATAGGCAGTTACAATGTCATGTAAGACCTGAACAGAGATTCTTTAATTCTTGATTTTGCAATGATATACTTTATCATGTAATTAACAATAACTGAGTGAACATTTTGAAGCAAATAAATACACAATTTTATTTATAAAAGTTGAAGTGTTTTCTCACATTTAATAGTATTGAAAAAAAATATATCAGAACAACCACAATCAATATATCTACTTTCTCTCATATTACATCTTAATGACTTTAAATGAATAAGTATAAGTATAAATTGTATTTGAAATCTGATTATCTTTTTAGATCTGTATGGGGAATCTATTTTAGAGTCGAAGCAATGTACATGTAAGTCTTACTTTCTAACATATAAAACATTGTCAATTGATATACACTTTTCTCTTTGATTTTGTCTTCTTCTGTCTGGAGTGAATGCAGAATCAGGCAAGCGTGGGGTATAAGAATAAGAATAAAATTTTTATGTTATATTTATTCACTGCCACAATTTTTTTCAATAAAAGATTTGAACATTAGCAACATTGATTTTAACAGTAGAATTATTGAATTTTATTCCAAAAGTGCTTTCAATGCCCTAGCTCTCCGTAACCTGCATAATTCCCGTGTGACATAATACTCACAGTATCTGTTTTACAGTGTTCAACATCAGAAGCAGTCCAGAATCGGTGAAGTGAATCATACCTAGAGAGATATAGTGGAATATCACATTTTATTCTGGACATCCTTAAAAATGCATCTAATCAAGAAATACACGTATCTTATATTATGTTATTTAATGGCACGAATAGCGTTTCTTCTGTAAAAATAGTATAACAAACGTTTCTATTGTCATTTTGCAATGGATGTCTTTTAGCATGTTTTTCACAAATGAGTGAACATTGGGAAACAAATAAAGAGAAAATTCTTTTTATATGAGTTGTGATTTCTAACATATCAAATTATTGGAATAATATATCATGACAGTCAAAAAAATCAATAAATATACATGTACTCACGTTACATTTTAATGACCTTAAATGTATTTACATACATGTATATAAATAGTACTTGAAATTTGATTAGATATTTTATCTATTTTAAAAGACTTTTAGGAGAAATCCATTTGAGAAGCAATGTATAGGTACACGTGAGTCGTACTTTCTTACATTTAAAATATTGCCATTGAATATACACATTCTTCTATTAATTTTACAGAATTTGAAGTTCATGACTTGTTTGTATTTTTTTTATTATTAAACAAGTTTATTAAATGACTGATGACTTTGCCATGTTTGGGTACATACATCAATATTTATACAGATTCCAGTTTTTGAAGCTGATCCTTGTAAGTTTCCTGCTAACTGGAGCGAATGCAGGATCAGGCACAAAAGATTTCCTAAGGAAATTCAATACGTATAATGAAGTGTGTCTTGGAATGGGCTTCAAGGGAAATAACTGCAAAAGAGGTGAAAGAGGTAATATGATTATCAAAAAACGAAGTCATGAGCAGGCAGGGGAGGGTCACTTATTTTCCAAACGTTACTTTTTATATTTGAAATACGTTCCCTGAAGTATGCTCCCTCCTTCCCATTCACCTTTAAAGTAAAGTCTTTCAGAGTAATTTGGTAATAATGTTATTCTAAAAATTAGACCCCTCCCTTATTACAAATCTTAAAATTAAAAGTAATTTTATTCATAATCTAATGAACAATTCTAAAGCTATATTGTATCTCATTTACAATCCAATATTTTGAAAAGTTCTGAGTTTAACGCAAATTGATCGTCTTAAAAAGATAAACTGTTAGTTTCAGATTGTCTGGGGAAAAAATAGATAACCTGTAAATAAACTGACATAAACATTCATATCCTATTTTTCTTTAAATAGATGTAATCTCATTTCATGCCCGGACTGCTAGTAATCTAAGCAACCTCGGAAATAATGCTGTAGTTGCATTTGGAAAAGTTACTGAAAATTCTGGATCCGCCTATAATGGTAAGACGGGGAAATTCACGGCACCTCAGGATGGGGTCTACTCATTTACATGGACCATTCTGACAACATCTGGGAAAATATTTAATACAAATATAGTTCTCAATGATAATAGTAAGATCCTTGGATACAACCATGTCGACGGAAGGAGTGGAAGTAATACTTATTTATCAGGATCCGCCACAGCCATTATAAAGATGAAGAAGAATGACAAGGTCTGGATAAAAACAAATGGAAAAGATGGGGAATACGCTTATGGTACTTGGTCCTCGTTTTCTGGTTTTAAATTGTCGTGATTTGTAATGGAATTATAAAATAAAAATTATATGCTTGGACTTTGCAGAAGTTTTTCTGGATGAGGAAAGATGAACCTATCATTTCTGATGCTAGTAAAAGATCAAAACCTAGACAGATTTGTTGATCATGTTTAAAACTTCCACAACAATAACAAATGAGGTCATGGTTATATAAAGGGTCAAGGTTAATAAATATTGATTAATTTAGAACACTGTACTTTTATTTTTATGTATCAGCAAATAAATTAATAAAAATACCTTCCATAATTATCAAAACTGAGCTATAAGCACTCATTTAATTGTGAAAATGAGGTCAAGGTAAATGGAAAAAAATAAGAAAATGCTGATGACGTTGAATAGCTCATACCAGTATGTATTTGCATATAAGGTTCGATGAAAACATTTTGAACTGTTTCTTTGAGACAAATAAATACTCATTTACGAAAATTGACATGAAGATCATAAGAAGGCTCAAAATCAAACAATGTTGATGCAGTTAAAAAGTTCTCATCAACATGTATCAGCATTTGAAATTAATATTGAAAATATCTTGAATAGTTTCTTTGAAATGGAACTAAAAACACAGCCACTGTGACAGAAGACCTATGAACAGAACATATTCATGGCACGAGAGGAAAAAAAACTAATAGCAGTATAGATTTATTACTTTGTCTTACTAATCAATATGATAAGCTGTACAGATAAATAAATGACAAATCAATTGTTTTTTAAATGAATTTACTAAAAATCACTCATAGTCAATGGTATATCAACATTTTATGTAAAAAAATTATTTGTACATGTAATTATATGAAAAATACATTCCACATGTATTTAATTTTTATAAATAAATACAGTTACATACAGATATATGTGTCTACCACATTCTGTGGTTAAAGAAAGAAACATATCAACTATACACACATATCAAAGGATAATTTACACTGACTATGTTCATTAAAAGTCATTTGATATCAATTATATTGCACAGAAATCATTTAAGATTAAGATACTTGTTTGTTTTATCCCATAAAAATACAGAATATAGATCTAGATCACAGTCAGGCGTTATAGCATTAACATGTTCTGTAGTGAACAGATGAGTGTATATAAGACATTCTGGTCTCCATTTCTGAAGAGTTAATTCAAAGAGTAGTTGAACTGGTTTCCAAATCTGTCCCGTATTCTTTTGTAGGCAAGGTTATCCATCACGTTATTCACCCTTTTCAGAGCAGACCTGGAACATTATAATAAGATAAAATTAAATACAGATAAATAAGTTACAGATATTTGTTGCAAACACTCAACTCTGGAATCATCATTTTTCCTGAGGGTTCAATGATTTCTATGGTAGGATACTAGGAAATATCTGCATGGAATACATTCTTTGAAATTGTCCTTCACAGGGAGAAAGACCCTTGTCAGTGCATAAGTCCTCAGAAAAATGTCTCACAAATCACAAATTGAAACCCCATAATTCAAATATTCCACAATTGCATGCAAAGCAAAACAGTTGCATGTGAAATGAATAGAACCATGAATTCATATCTCCCACAATATTTTTTCTTTAAAATTAAAGTTTCTCCTTCAATTTTGAAAACAATAGAAATCAAACTTCCTCAAATGACAACCCCCCTTTACATTTTACAGTGTTCTCTTAATATTCAATAAAAGAACTAGATATATCAGTTGATTAAGTAAAATTTTAAACATAAAACCATAATGATCTGTATTAAACTATACTTACTTATTGAGGACTCTTTTCTCTAGTCTTGTCCGGGACGTGTTTTCCACAATGTTGATGTCCGTTAGGTTAGGATATTTGGGTTCTTTCTTTTTCTTTCCTTTCCCCTTCCCTTTACCTTTTTTAGAACCTAAGTCTACCCCTAGAGCGGCCTCAATATCAGCCTGTAGTTCTGGATCCTGCCAGTCACTCACTCCCTCTACAGGTAAAGTCAAGGAATTTATGAATAAATTTTAACATTCAGAGACAAGAAGTACAGAAAAACATGCTTATACAGGTAGCAAACACCCTCAATGATGAATTCAATTGATGCTGTATACACATGCATGCATAATAAGGTAATTCATAACAAAGTCATATCATTCATCCCTGACTCTTCAATGTTAGTGCCTTTTACTATATTCATTAATAGTTTTTAGGTATGAAGAAGAGATACATGTATTATTATGATATAAAAAAAATTGTATACTCTCAATAGTTTACAAAGGAAGGAATTCTAAAGTAAAGGTCTGACAAACATACCCTCTAGTAAACCCTGAGAACTGGTGGATGGCTTGTCTTGATTTCTCTCATTACCTTTTAATTACATTGTGAATTTAATGGATACACATGTATGCGACTCCATACTCGTCTCTGGCAATAATTTTACCATGGAAAGGACACTGTAGATTACAAAAGATTTGCATGTAGATTGTATAAAAAAATCAATAAGAGTTGCTACATAGGAATGGAACTTAATCTATAAGCTAGTAAATTTGTTATATATTTTTTTAAACTTCATTTCTAAAATATAGCACTCACGATTTTAAATTATGCATACAAAAATAAGAATGATTTCATATCTAGTGATATACTGCGAAATCACAAAATTTTGTTGGAGTTTAATTTTTCGTTGTTTTCAAGGACAAGACCCACGAATTCATGTCCACCACAAAATGTAAAATGTAACGTACATAAGTACTCATTAATTCTTGAACCACGGAATAACATACCCACAAACCAAGAGATTTTCCTCAAACCACGAAAATTTTACCCCATGAAAATATGTGATTTTACAGTTTATGGGAACATCAAGGACATAGCCGAAATGTTTTGTGCAGGATTTACTGTCAGTTAAAAGTATGAAAAAAAACATAATACACATGTAATAAAAATGTATTGTTAAATATTCCGTACTGTCACCTGTCTAATTAAAATTAGATGTTTGATATTCATTACACCAAGTATTAAAGTGTAGTAATTATGTGAACAGATTTAACATCTGATTTTCATAAGACTGTTACTTAATGGGAGAAAATAGATCACAGTAGCAGACCTATACTAAAATGTATCAATGTGTACAAGTGAATTTTTAAAAACTTGACAAACTATTTGGCTATCCATAAAAAACACACAAACTTCCATTGGGAAATGTTGAGTTCTACACTTCCATTTCAATTTAAAAATTGAACAAAAGGAATAGCCCTCTTGGTCAGTTCACCAATGCTGCTCTGAAATTTCAAAACAAAGTCAGAATAAATCTTTTATCATTTACATTGGTGTTAACTTTTGAATGAGAGAAGATAGGGATTTCATGATTTACAAAGTACATGTACATTATCTATGACAACATTTTTCAGAAAGGTATATCATTTTTGATTTCAGGACTTTATATTTTTTCAGTAAAAGCATTTTAACAGCATTAATATTAAATTTTAATCATAACATGCTTTCAATGCCCTGTCCATAACTTGTGTAATATCAGTTATACTCACATTATCAGTTTTACAGTGTTCAACATCAGAAGCAGTCCAGAATCGGTGAAGTGAATCATACCTATAAAGATGCAGAGGAACATCACTCATTTTTAAACTAAAAATCTTCCATTTCTGGAAATGACTTAATTTTTATGTGCCCAGATCGATAGATCCAGGGCGTATATTGTTTTTGTCCTGTCTGTTTGTCTGCAAACTTTAACCTTCGCCATAACTTTGAACCATGAGAGACAGAGACTTCATATTTGGTATGCATACTATATGAAGCTCTTTTGACACCAAGGTCAATGACCTTGTGACCTTGACTGCGACCTATATGCTAAAATAGTTTTTTCCTGCAAACTTTAACCTTCGCCGTAACTTTTGAACCATTAAAGATAGAGACTTCATATTTAGTGTACATACTCCACTCATGAAGCTCTTCCAAATGACACCAAGGTCAATGACCTTGTGACCTTGGTTGTTACCTATATGCTAAAAATAGCTTTTTTTAAACTTTCACCATAACTTTTGATACATAGGAGATAGAGAGTTCATATTTGGTTTTAATACTCCTCTTATTAAGCTCTTTCAAGAGACACCAAAGTCAATGACCTTGAAAACTTGACTGTGACCTATATGCTAAAAATAGCTTTTTTGAACTTTAACCATAACTTTTGAACCACGAGAGATAAAGACTTCATATTTTGTATACATACTCCACTAATCAAGTTCTTTCAAATGAAAATAAGGTCAATGACCTTGAGACCTTGACTGTGACCTATATGCTAAAAATAGTGTTTTTCGAACTTTGCTGCTGCGGGGCGCATAGTGTTTCACAAACACATCTTGATAATAAATGTACTAAATTATGGTATTGACTTGTTATTTTAATTAAGCATTCAGTAAGAAACATTGCTGAGAGAGGTAACTTACTTGACAATCTCTGGAGCCTGGATCTTATCTGGATTTTCCCAGTGTTCCAGATCCACTCCAAATGGAACCAGGGGAGCACTGCTCAGCAACTTGTCCTTACGACTGGAGGTGTTCTTCGTGCCTTTAGCTGTGGATGTGCTACCTGTAGCTGGTTCGGTGTTGCTGTTAAGTGAAATTGAGATGAAAAATAAACATCTTCCATGATACAAAAAGACTATAATGTTTTCAAACTATGGCCATAACCCCCTCCCACAACTGAAAAAAGAAGAGAAAAATCATTTCCTAGAATATCAGTGTGATACATTTTATACATGTGTGAACTTTCCGTAATATGAACTTTAATTGAAAGCCATGATGAACCATATTACATATTACTTACTAAACAAACAAATGAACAAACCCATACATATACATAGCGATAACTAACAACATATAATGTTTTGAGGTAAGATCACTAGACACCAACAAAGCACCTTTTACTCTCAGCCTCAGCTTTGATTTTCTTGAGGTTGGCGATCATGGCTGTGGGATCTTTCTCATCATGCTCCAGTAACTCATTCTGAATGCTCCAGGAGGCCTTCACAAATGTCCGCTTGGCCCCAATACCTGAGGTGCTGGGTTTGATTGATGCACTGGTAACTGTGGCTGCTGGCTTCTTGGAGGAAGAAGTGGGTTTCTTGCTTGTGGAGGCGGACCCAGATGCTACGTTAATAATAAATACATGCACATATCAATGACATAAAGTTCAATACTGTAGATCACTTAATTTTCGCGAGACCTTATTTTCGCGAGATAGTCATCGACTCTTTATTAGCGAGACCCAATTTTCACGAATTTTTGACTGTATAAAAGAATACTTTTCGAGAATGAAATAAAATGTGTAATTACGCCAAAATTAAGTTCTCGCAAATAAAACGTGATTTACAGTAATATGTTTTGGTACATATTCAGTGTACACTACAGATATACTCAAACGTGTCATTTCTTCTATGAATTGTATCTGTGAACCACACAGTCATGTTCATCATTTTGTTATAATACTAACTAAGACATTATTTGAACATCTTACCTGAATCTTTCTTGAGAAGTTCAGGAACGTCTGCTTCAAATCCTTCTTTCTCTGGCACGTCTTCAAACTCATCATCAGAGTCATCTAAAATAAATCCTTATAATCATCACATCATAATCATCAGGTTCATATCTGTTTATGAATACTGTTAAAATAAATAAATTGGCTCAAAATTTAGCATAATCTTTCTCATTAAGTAATTATCATAATAATGAATTAGCATACTTCTACAGTAATGTATTTGTTTAAATCATACACATACATTAGCATTTCTTGAATTAGTAAACAACAATCTGCACAAAGGTACTAAAGTATAGTTTATACATTTACAGCAGGTATTTAGAGAAATAAAGTATATAAACACTTTACCATCTCCATTTTTGGTTTGCTCCTCTAGGGGTATCACTTTCAGATCATAAAACTGAGTCTTCGTTTGCTGAAGCTGAGATTTGAGGTCAATGACTCTTTTTATGTCTTCCTCTTTACCTCCATGTTTTGACAGTATCTGAATCAATATTAAAGGAAAATGCACTGTGTACCAGCCATATCTCAGCAGGATTTGGCTTTCCTTATCAAATCTAATGGCAAGTTTGTTACATGTATACGTGAAACTTTTATATGATTTTAACTGTATCTATATGATTCATAACTTACCTGTACCCAGCGTGTGACACTGGGTTAGTGTTTAGTACTGATCAGTCGGTAGTGGTCCTTTAGTGAGTTATAACTTACCTGTAGCCAGTGTGTGACACTAGGCTGGTGTTTAGTACTGATCAGTCTGTAGTGGTCCTTTAGTGAGTTATAACTTACCTGTAGCCAGTGTGTGACACTAGGCTGGTGTTTAACTGAAGTAGTGGTCCTTTAGTGAGTTATAACTTACCTGTAGCCAGTGTGTGACACTAGGCTGGTGTTTAGTACTGATCAGTCAGTAGTGGTCCTTTAGTGAGTTATAACTTACCTGTAGCCAGCGTGTGACACTAGGCTGGTGTTTAGTACTGATCAGTCGGTAGTGGTCCTTTGGTGATTTATAACTTACCTGTAGCCAGGTGTGACACTAGGCTGGTGTTTAGTACTGATCAGTCGGTAGTGGTCCTTTAGTGAGTTATAACTTACCTGTAGCCAGCGTGTGACACTAGGCTGGTGTTTAGTACTGATCAGTCGGTAGTGGTCCTTTAGTGAGTTATAACTTACCTGTAGCCAGCGTGTGACACTAGGCTGGTGTTTAGTACTGATCAGTCTGTAGTGGTCCTTTGGTGATTTATAACTTACCTGTAGCCAGCGTGTGACACTAGGCTGGTGTTTAGTACTGATCAGTCTGTAGTGGTCCTTTAGTGAGTTATAACTTACCTGTAGCCAGGTGTGACACTAGGCTGGTGTTTAGTACTGATCAGTCTGTAGTGGTCCTTTAGTGAGTTATAACTTACCTGTAGCCAGCGTGTGACACTAGGTTGGTGTTTAGTACTGATCAGTCGGTAGTGGTCCTTTAGTGAGTTATAACTTACCTGTAGCCAGCGTGTGACTCTAGGCTGGTGTTTAGTACTGATCAGTCGGTAGTGGTCCTTTAGTGAGTTATAACTTACCTGTAGCCAGCGTGTGACACTGGGCTGGTGTTTAGTACTGATCAGTCGGTAGTGGTCCTTTAGCGTGGTTAACAGAGGTAGATTGTCCTCGTTCTCCTCCAGTTTTACCGGACCACTCTGTATGTCTATAGCTATACTGTACTGGTGGTTCCTTAGGCCGTGCTCCTGTACAAACTCTCCCACCTCCTCCAAGTTATCATCGTCAGAATCATTGGAATCCTCGTCATCAGATGATTCTCTTCCAGCCTGATCCTCTGTGTCAGATTTTTCCACTGTTTGAGAATCACTATCTTTCCCTTCCATACTTGTTTCATTCCTGAGATTATCTTGGACACTTTGTGGTTCATTTTCAATGTTTTCTCCAGAGTCTTGATTTTTGTTGATTTTTGTATTTAACTCGTTTCCTGATTTATCCTTCATCTTACATTTCACCTCTGTATCAGTCCTAAGCTGATTTAAATGTTTGCCTACAACATTGTCTGAATCCTTTCTGTTTTTTAAGCATTCTTCACAATCCCTGTAGGTAGATGTCACATCAGTATTTCCACAATGTCCACACTTCTGTGTATGGGTCTTTATTTTTTCCTGGTTTTCTGAAGTAGAGGAGCAAGCCTTGGTTTCTTTATCAGTTTTATCTGATTCAATCCCCAGGAAGAAGTCTTCGGGGGTAGGGAGAAGTATGGCAAAACAGTTTTCCACTTCTGTGAGACAGGTCTTGATATCGGGTAAAGTTTCTGTAAGAACAAGTGAAAAAATTTAACAAAAACAGATCATGTGACAGTACTTTTTTATCATAATTAATATGATAACATGTTTGAGTAATTCCATATTTTCTTTTACTTGTACATGTTTATGATTATGAATGTGTTTTATACATTGAAAATGAAATAAAAGGGAAATAATCTTGTGTCTGAAAACAGAATAATTTAAGATTTTTAGATTTTAACTCAGAAAGATCTTTGTTCCTCCAAAAACAGTAAATATAGAAAGTATGAAGTAAATACCGGTCAGTGCAAAAGTTTTACTGCTTTTCCCTGAGGATTTTGTTAACTCTGCAGTCTTGATTGTTCTAATTACCTTCAACTTCTGAGGACTTTATTAACTCTGCCCTGGTTAATTCTCTTTACCTTCGATGTCCCTGAGGACTTTGTTTATTCTGTCCTGGTTAATTCTCTGTTGTCTTTCGGCTCGCTCCCTCTCTCTTCTTTGTTCTGCTTCACCCCTCGCTCTAATTCCATTGAAATCTACCTGTATCACACAAATATAATGTACCTCATAAATATCATCAAATTTTCAAGACACCTTATTTTTGAAAGAAAGTAAAAAGTTATAAGCAAGATGTAATTTTCATGAATGTTAGATACTGTAATACAATATGACCTTTGATTGATAAAATATATGAAAAATGAAAATTTTGTGAGCTAACAGTTTTTTGTAATTGTGTGCATTTAAAGTTCTTGCGAATAAATAAGTGATGAATACATGTAGCATTTAATTAGCCACCTGTCTTGAATGAAATTAATATTTTCATTGAACAAATTTCTGAATACTAAATGTTAACTTGAAGAAGGATATTTGCAAAGTTTGTTTGCTCATGTCATGGTTTATTTTGGATATCTCTTATGTACTTGATACAAACCTTTTTGCATTTCTGTAGAAAGTTAAACCCGAGGGACAATTTCTTGTAAGCCTCTCCAAACTTATCATTCCACTGCTGGATGGCCCTGAGAGCTGAGGTTTTCAATGTGTTGGCCGCAGCTTTAGGTGGAGGTAGTGGTTGATCAAAGTCAATCTCTACAAACATCACAAATATTGATATTTCTTCTTCATAAAGTCATCAAACCAATAATTCATTTATTAATGCATAAAATTTGTAAGCTGTGTTTTAAATTTAAAATGCTATTCATGCAAGTTCTGACTCTTTCAATTGTCATTTCATAAAAAAAAATATCTATGTACGAATTTAAAATGCCATTCATGCAAGTTCTGACTCTTTCAATTGTCATTTCATAAAAAAAATATCTATGTACGAATGTACATTTGCGAAAAAACATGTATGAAAAAACAGTTACACAACAAATAGACTTACCGACTGTTAGTTCCAGGTAAGTTTGTAAGTCTGACAGTAGTAACTCCCTGAATGCATGTGACCGATTAAAGAGTTCATCTATCATCTGGAATGCAGACAGTCTTATTTCCGAGTGTTCTTTCTCCAGTTGGGTCATCAGCATATGATAAGCTTCTTTGACGTACATATCTGACTTTCTGCAATAAAGTTTCATGGTAAACATTTCGAAGTGCCTAAAGAACAAATTCAGTGAAAGTGTTGACTTTCATTAGGTATCACATGGTTAAAATATGTCACATTAATCTGTCAAACAGTGATATACATGTACACTTTTAAATCATATGAAACAGATATTTTGCATGTATGTCTTACACTCTGCAACCACAAGAAATTTAAAGTGAAAAAATAATTGTCACTTTAAAATAAATACATGTACTTCAACATTGATCATGCTGACACTCAGTTTAACAATTAAATAGAAAGTGAATACAGCTAATTTAATACTAACTTGCAGATACTTTTGAATTTTTTCATGGTGTTTGCATTAAGTACTGGTTTGCCACTTGTTGTCAGCTGTTCCACACATTGCTGCATCTCCTGTCTCAGCTTGTGGTCCAGGCATTCTGAATCTGACGACTCTGCCATGTTCTGAAAGAGTTTAGTCGAAAGTAGATAATTATATATAGTAATTAAAAATTGATTTCAAATTTTCCATCTAGTGAATGCTGCAAATTGATGCATTTTATTCTTTCACAACAAAAATTTTATATGATTATGATGGAAAGTGACTGGTGGTATAAAATTTATCATGAAGAATTAATTCTAACAACACATGCAAAGATCTAGGGAGGGGATCGTTTTTTTTTTCCTTGTCAAGAAATTTCTGGGTTGGATTTTTTTTGGAATGGGATGCCCCCCCCCCCCCCCAGTTAAAAAGTGTAAGTTAAGAGAATTAAGGGTTTTGATGGTAGGCCTATATCCATTAATATAGACAAATTTCACATTTCTAAGAGTTATATCCCGTTGTCGGCATAACGCATTTTTTCCACTTTGTTCTTTATAAGTTACCTGGCTGTAACTTAATATTTAATCATCAAACATTTTTGGACAATTTTGATCTGTACCTGTATTGCCAGAGTATGGGGCAACATGAAAAACATAATGAACATATTCATATAAATTTCATTTCTAAGATACTGACCCAAAAAGTTGGTCAAGTGCCTCACGCCAGTTGACCCTATATTGACCCCGGAAAAGGGAATAACTTTTGTAAATGTGAAAGTCGTCTATTAAAATAAATATGGTCGAGGGTCCTATAGTCGTGCATGCCCAGTAGTCGTGCACCATTTTGTTTGTTGTCAAAAGTTGGTCACGTGCTATGATATTACGTCATAAACATCTGATTTTCAAAGAAGAGAGAAGGAATCAAGTGCCTATTCCAAAACAAAAAGTTAAATATGCGGAGGAAACATTCATTAATTAATCAAATAAACATAAGCATCAATAAAGCTGCCATTTTCCTTATACTCTTTTTTAAGTTTCTGAATATATACTCTACCTGCACGGAAGCGCCAGCTATGGACGCGGCAAGCACATGGCTAATTAGCATAATCATACGTGATGGTCGCTGGGTATTTTATTTTTTTCCTTTTGTCAATAATCTCAAAAGGTGACTTCATAAAAATGCTATATTCCTTATACTGAAATACGTAATTATTACATAGGAATACGTGTAAATAAGAAGTGATGAAAAACTTTTGACTTATTTTAGAAAAAAACAATCGTAAACCTAATTAAATCAAATAAATTCTAAAAATTATTGAATTAATCCTTGAAGAATAAAATTTTTGTCACCTGAAATTTGTTTTTATTTTGTTTTCATTTTTCTTGGCCAAATATTTGCAGCTACATTCGAGCGCACGACTGCTGGTCCAAAACAAATATGGCCTACGTAAACCTAAACCCCCATATTAAATATTATAAAGCACTTAGAAATATTCTTAATAACAAGAAAATTAGACAATTACACGGTAAGTTAAAATATCAGATGAAATAACCAAAAGTTTCGTTTAAATTGTACTTAGCACTGATACTCTCTTAAGAGCACGACTACTGGGCACTCAAGGGTACAACCTACATACATCTGCATTAATTGGTGAATCAGTTCAATCAAATAAGGCTAAGCGTTCCCGTAAACCCATAAAATCTAAGATTTTTTTAAAGAAGAAGAAGAAAAAGACAGTCTTATTACGCTTATTATTTTTCAAATATTTATTTGATAGTAAATAGAATAAAAATAATTAAAATTAAAAATATCTATTTCATTATCAGGTATAAAAATGGATATAAGACGAGGAAACCAGAATACATCTAAAACCAGTCAGATTTTAATATCGTTATAATTTTTCTGTAACATCAGAAGAAAACATTACCGCTTTCTTCAATCTTCCTGCATTCACTTGATCGATGTCATCTTGTTATGAAATATTTTTTTCCCTAAATCCACAAATCAAGCAGGAAGTAACTATGAGAAGGAAGGAGTGGAAACCGAGACGGGACAGCATGATAGTTCCGAATTTATTCTTGTTTTACTTTCACTGTTTCAGATTGAATTATCGTAAATTTATTTATTTTGTTCTATCGTTATAAGTTATCAGAAATCATTTTAACCTTAATATCCGTATAGTGATAGCAAGGTAGGAATGGGGTTTTATCATGTTTATTCATTATTGCTTTTAATTAAAGCCATATATGGCGTAACTGATCCAAAAAATATATTTTTGAAAAATACAAAATTAAGTAAAGAAATATTTTTGATACATTTAAATTAAAGCTTTTCATACAATTCTGAACACGGAGAACACCTCGTTTCATCTAACAATACGATTTTATCTTCTCTGTAATGTGTTATTTAAATCTTTTGTATTTTCTTCCGAGTCGGAGAAAATTCCGAGAATCCAAATTAAATTGTGATATCTTTATAATGCAATTGATTTAGATTTTGTAATTTACGGAAAAGTTCTATCTTTATATAAAGTAATGATACAAATAATAAGTTCTTATAATTTTAGTCCAATAATTTTTATTGTACATACGCCATATATGGTTTTAATATTTTAATATAGGGTGGGTATTTTCCGAATTTTCTCGCTACTGCTGTGACAGCATTATTTATTATTATACTTCTGTTAAAATGTTTCCTATATAAAGTTCAGACGGTAAAATAACTATTCTTCATAGTCTGAAAATTTCCCCCCATAGAAAGCTATACCCCAGGGGTATAGTTTTTGCTACCCACCCCTCGGAAAGTTTTCATGCAATGTTTGACGCCAATTTTAATTTCCAGCGTTAAATCTTTAGCCTGATGATGTCATAATGACTTCAGTAGCATTGTGACGTCATCAGGATTTCAGCTCATTCTTGCAGTATTATCTAACACCAAAGAAAATTCAAACCTAAGAAATTATAATATACATCAGTATAATAAAACACTTATCCACTGGTTGTGAGTGGGATAGCTCTTTTATCAAACCCTTGACAGGAACTATTCCCCTCGGGCAAGCCCTCGGGGAATAGTTCCCTGTCGCGGGTTTAATAAAAGAGCTATCCCACTAACAACCATTGGATAAGTGTATAATAGTCTTATACATGTAATATATTTTAAGCTTTAGTGATGAAAGTCCAAGAGCGTCGATTGTTTTTCCATGATTATTTTTTTAACTTTACTTATTTCTTATTCTCAAAAAGTGGCCCCTATTGCCTTTTTACATGTTTAATATTATTATACTATCCATGGTGTATTGTATTTTCGACCTATTTAATTTTATACTTTATTAAATCTGAAAAAGTAAGGGCCTGTTATATGGGTAATGTTTAAAGTTTTTTTCAGACAACATGTCCAAGAACGAATTCAAGGTCGATATCGACGATATCGACAATATTAAGTCGATATCGTATCGATATCGATCGTGATGAGCACTATTAATTTGAAATATTTGGTACCATATATATGAGACTTTGTGCAATGTCGATGTCGTCGATATCGACAATACCATGACGATATCGTATCTATATCGATGAAATAAAATTATGATAAGGAAAGGGTTAATGGTTTTATTAGTTTGGATTACGCTTAGAGTAAGATGTTGGGTGAGGGTGAAAGTTGCTAAATATGTTTTAACAATCATGATTCGATATCGATACGATATCGTCGATATCGACGATATCGACAGTAGGGTAAATTTATTAATCAGAAAGTAAATATGCAAAAGCATTGCATGAACTAATTGTCATGGGATATGTTAATTTAAAATATATATGAAGATTTTGTATTAGGGTGAAGGTTGGTTATGTAATATGTTTTAACAATCATGATTCGATATCTATACGATATCGTCAATATCGACGATATCGATGGCAGGTACAATCTTCGTAAAAGTAAAGTAATTAAACATAAATACACATACAAAGTAACAGGGACGGTATTTACAAAGGGCTGAGCAAATATGATTCGATATCGAAGCGACATCGTCGATATCGACTCTATAGGAAAATTCTAATAAAAGATAGTTTTTAAGTAACACAATGTTACAAACAAAATGCTAGAATTCTAGATGGAAACCATAATTCTTTAAACAATCCTGATTCGATATCGACACGATATCTTGGATATTGACAGTAAAAAAAAACTTTTCAAAACAAAAAGTATTGTAATAAGCACACAAAAATAGAGAAATATTATAGTAAACTATAAAAAGTAATGTGTCGATATCGTAACTACATCGTGTCTTGGACCAGAATTACAGACAGATCGACAGACAGACAGGGCAAAAAACTATGTACACATTGTACCCCCAAATCTTTAATTTGATAACAGGGGACTTAAAAAAATGTTGGTGCTCACAGAAATATCTTGAGAATAAGAACTATGTGGAAATATGAAAGCAATAGCATGCCACTACCAACTGTTCAAATGTTTAATGGCCAAGGTTTAAGTGTTTCTAAAGTAGCTATGTCAAAACAAAGGTCAACGGGTCAAATTGAATGATGCCCATGGAAAGATCTTGTCACAAGGATTGCATTTGTGAGACATGAAAGCCTTGAAGCACCAAACACTTAAAAGTTTGGGAGCAAGTCGAAGTTTTTCAAAAGTATATAGATTATTTAAACTTCAATGTCAAGGATAAATGATCATAACTGTTTTTACCATAGGAAAGGTCTTTAAATGTTACAAGGGAATATCCCTGTGAAATACTAGTTATAAAGCCTTTAAGCCTTAGATGTTCCAAAGCAATATGCAAGGTTCAAGTTTTCAAAAGTAGGTTAAACTTAAAGGTCAAGGTCAAAGGATAAAAATTTTGGTACATATGGGAAGATCTTGCCTTAAAGATTACGCTTATGAGGCATGAAAGCCCTAGCACCAAACATTCAAAAGTTATGGCCAAGGTTATTAAACTTTGGTAAAATTTGCAAAATAGGGTCAAACTTCAAGGTCAAGTGATGATATATATTGGTATCCAGAGAAATGTCTTGTCACAAGAATAATATATTTGAAATATGAAAGTCCTTAACAAAGTTTTTAGGCTACTATATTTTATACACTTCTGTGTGATTGTGCAATATCCACAAAGGCACACACCATGCACAAATCATAAGATTACACTCCGAGTATGATCTGTCATTTATTTTTAGGCTGGTTTACAGCTGTTGAAGTAAAATGAGTGAGATAGCCCAGTACAATGAAATCTCTAAATCTTACGACTCCACGCGGGAAGCTGCAGATTAGTCCACATTCTTAAAAGTCTGATGGAAAACTTCATAGGAAAAAGTATCAAGGTAAAAATGGACCAAGGTCATATGTTAATTGCTGTATAAAAACTTACTTTTTTGCCTCTGTTCTTCTGTCCAAAAAATATAAAAATAGGTATGTCACAGATAAAACTTGTATGATTTTGGAAATTTGCATCAAACATGTCAAATTGAATGGATCGAATTGATTTCGAATATTTTTAGCTCACCTGAGCCGAAGGCTCAAGTGAGCTTTTCTGATCACATTTTGTCCGTCGTCCGTCCGTCTGTCTGTCTAGCTGTCTGTCCGTCTGTAAACTTTTCACATTTTCGACTTCTTCTCAAGAACCACTGGGCCAATTTTGACCATACTTGGTACAAAGCATCCTTGGGTGAAGGGTAATTTAAATTGTTAAAATGAAGGGCAAAGTTCCTTCACAAGGGGAGATAATCAAGAAAAGACAAAAATAGGGTGGGGTCATTAAAAAATCTTCTTCTCAAGAACCACTGTGCCAGAAAAGCTGAAACTTATGTACAAGTATCCTGGGGTTGTGTAGATTCTAAATTGTTCAAATCATGACCCCTGGGGGTAGGGCAGGGCCACAATGGGGAATCAAAGTTTTACATAGAAATATTTAGGAAAAATGTTTGAAAATCTTCTTCTCAAGAACCACTGGGCCAGAAAAGCTGAAACTTATGTGCACATGCATGGAAGCATCCTGGGGTAGTGTAGATTTCAAAATGTCTAAATTATGATCAGTGGGGTAGGGTGAGGACGCAATATGTATTAGGGGGAAATCTGGGAAAGAACAGAATGGTCAAAGCTTCTCAGGTGAGCGATGTGGCCCATGGGCCTCTTGTTTTAATTGTGACCCATTGAGGTTATCCGATCCTCAGCCAGGAAGGATAACTCCAAAAATTAATATTTAATTTGAAATGCATCAAATGAAGCTTGAAAATTTAATTTTTCCATGCAACAATTTTCATTTTAATCAGCTTTGTAAGATTCAAGGTTTTTGGAAGTCTTAGAAAAGGTCTTATAAAAAATGACATTTGTACCCTATAAAAGGAAAAAAATTAATACAGTTTTGGAGGGATACTTATCGTTTTTTAACCTAAAATATATTTGTTGATCAATTTGCAATTAGAAAATACATTCCTTAGATTCCAATTCGCTTTTTCTGCAAAAATATTGGAGATTTGACAATTGTTCCCATATCATATAATATGATTAACTTTAATCTTTAACTTTAAAGAAATACTGTGGATAAATTTACATTGGTTTGTGGATTCAGAGATACTTTTATGAGTATTTTTGATTACTTAACTGCTAATTTTATCAACCTGAGGATCGGACTACCTAATTAATCTGTTAGACCTGTGACATGAAGATGCCTACATATATATTCAAGGTCATTTTTTATAAGACAACATAAATGGGTAATGAATTAAAAGATGAACACTAAAATTATTTTGAAATTACAACTGGGCCTCAGGTGAGTATTGTGGACCATGGGCCTCATGTAATCTTCAATTAAATTTGTCATTCTTTTTTTATTAAAATTTAGGACATGGATATAATTGACATTGGGTGTGGAACGGGTAACTACTCGAAATATTTCCTCCAATTTGAGCCACGTAGCTTGGTGTTGATGGATGCCAGTGAGGGAATGATTAGTAAGGCAAAAGACAAGCTGTCCCCTACCCCTCCCCAAACCAGCCTGTCCTTCAAACAAGTGGTTCTGCCAGAGATGCCCTACGATGCCAGTT